CGACGCATATGGAGACACGTGAACGACCGTCATCTTGTTCGACAATTGGCGGGTAATTTAGAGCGGTCATTCAGTTTTGCTATAATGTTGAATAGGCATGTTCACGTGTAATTTTTCCCTATGCTATAACGTTTGGCATTTTTAAATAAATTTTATTATTTCAATTTTCGAATTATAACTTCGACAGTACTAATAATTTTAATTTCATTTTTTAGAAATTACCCTTCTGCATTTTAATTAAAGCATAGTTATTATTTTTTAATATGAAGTCAATGCCGAGCAAAAGATTAAGCTTTTAAAAACTGTATTCACCAAGTATTTTATAAATTATTTATAATCAACTTAATAAATTTGTAATCCGATAATTGAAAATCAAGAATATGCCTACTTCCTCCCCCCCGGACATTTTTATTTATGTCTTTCCTTTTCCTTCAATACAGCCGTGATTTATTTATATATCTAAGGATAATTTCATTGAAAGAGCTGGTAAGTAATTTTACAATAAGTTTGAACTTTATTTTTATAAAAGAAAATACTTAGTTTACGTTTTTATTAATAATATTAAGTGCTTAATTAGTTCAATTAACTCGAGATTTGTTTTTTAAATCTATTTCCTTTTTTAGAAAAACTTCACCAATTTAGAGTAATATGTAACAAGAATTTATTTAAAAAATTATAATTACTTCTTTAATGTTTAATTACAATAATTTTTTGTCAGAACAGTGTTGCATGAGTTAGAATAAAGGTTTTGTTTTAAACGTATTTTGCTAATCAATAATTAGCAACTATAAAAGAAATACTAAAAAACTTTTTCTTTAAATATACTCATTTAAAAGATTGTTCTTTTCCTAAATTAAAACTAAGTCTCTTTGTTTTTATATTTGTTTAGTTTCCAGTTCAAACAAAGGGAGAAAGGATCAGGTTTGTTTCTTTCGTAATTCAAACTCCTACATCATGAAGCCCATCCCACTCCAGACGATTTGCGAAAACGTCATTTTTGCCGTTCTTGGCCACGCCCCCTCAAAAAACTCCCCGCAGGCACTCGTAGGGATCTCGCCAAATTTTAGCGCCAATTTTGGCGTAGATCACGATACGGAAATCATCCCTTTCAAAATAAATAACAAACTGATAGGTCATACGTTTAATACAATTGAAAATTAATTTATTTCGGGAGCAAACTCTTCAAAACTTATTTTTAAAATATTTTGTTTTGTTTTTATTATTCAAGTAGTTAAAGTTGAAGTTGGTATAAAATATTCGGAAGTAGAAGCTTTGATCTGCTTATCTCTTTGTTTAACTGTCATTCTAATTTATAACTGATTAAATATAATACCCATGAACATTAGTGTGCAAAGAGATGTGCTCACGACTCTTTCACCCTGCGCACTTCAATGGATGGTGTTTTTCACACTAGGAAGCGCTGCAAGCTCTTTGTGCCGCCTACACTTCCTGGTTACTGTTTCCTTTGTATTTTAAAGCCATTTGGCTCACATGATGACATGTTTTGAGAATTTTGCAAACGTGGTGTTTGATTACTTATTACTTGTGTTTACAAAGGTTTAAGGGATGTATAATTTTAACATTATTTGTAAAATAGTAGTGTTAAGTACTAGTAACATGTGGTTAGAGTTAGATCAATAATAAATATGTAAACCTAACATTTTAAAAAAGAATCGATCTTCTTACCATGTCAATAACATATGCCAACTTTCAAATTTAAACCAGAATTATAATTTATAAACTTAATCTTGCTCCTCGAACAATATGCTAACACTAACGTAAGATGGTGCACAGCGTGCAACAAGAACAAACAGTAATAAACAGATCTGTTTATTACTCTTTCCATCGATGGAAAGAGGCCAAATCAGGACTACCAAAAAGGCGAGTTATTCAAAATCTAGCAACAATGTCACCTTTTTTATCAATATTTCAATAAATAACTTAAACAAAATTTCACTTAAAACTCACCGGAATTACTAAATAGCATTAATATCTAATGAAATACGGCAGATTTGAGCTCAGAAATTATCCGATTTATTTCTTTTACTGAAAACAAAATTATTCGTTTGAAAATATTGCCTCGCAGAATAAACTGTAGTAAGCAGTTGCAAACTTTCTAACCGGAACTAGATCAGGTATGGAGCTCGAAATTGTTATTGTTTATATGGATGGTGTTTTCTACACTAGGGAACGCTGTAAGCTCGGTACCGCCTGAATTTCCGGGTTACTGTTTCCGTTGTATTTTAAAGCCATTCAATTTGGCATCATTGTGTTTTGAGGTTCTTGTAAACAATGTATTTTATTACTTGTGTTTACAATGATAACAATACTGGTGTTTACAATGCTAAAAGTGTTAACACTAACGTAAGATTCTGCACAGCTTGCAACAAGAACAAACAGTAATAAACTTATGGAAGGAGGCCATATCAAGACTGCCAAAAAAGCGAGTAATTCAAAATCTAGCAACCATGCCACCTTTTTTAACAATATATCTCTAAAAAACTAAAACAAATTTTCACTTCAAACTCACCAGAATTACATATTAACATTAATATTTTATGAAATATGGCAGATTTGAGCTCAGAAATTATCTAATTTATTTCTTTTATTGAAAACAAAATTATCCGTTTGAAAACATTGCCTATCAGAATAACATGTAGTAAGCAGATGCAAACTTTTTAACCGGAACTAGAGTAGGTGCCGAGCTCGAGATTGTTATTGTTTACATTTCTATTGAAAACACCATCCATTGAAAACACCATCCATAACAAATTTCGTTCGTAATAATATTCTGAGTCATTTTCTGTTGATTATTGTTGAAATGAAATTCGGGAGTTTGACATTTAAAAATACACAGTTTAAAGCAATTTTAAATGCAAAGAAAGAGGAATAATTGAAAACATTTAAAAAGTTTTAGATAGGTACTTTATTTACGTCGCACTGGAGCTGCACAATGGGCTATTGGCGACGGTCTGGGAAACATCTCTGAGGATGATCCGAAGACAAGTTTTGATCCTCTGCAGAGGTAGTGGCTCCACTGCTTCGATAGTCCGACGACCTGCGCGCGTCGTCGAGCACTTTACGGTAGAACAAGAGTTTAACGAGGACCGATACTCATCAGCCTTGGACCCTGCGTTGACTGATCAAAGTGGTCGTCCACCAGCTTACCGACCACAGTCAGTGACGCTTGACTTCGGTGTTCTACTGGGAACCGTGTCCTTACGATCAGTCCACTGTGGGACTATGAAGTTTTAAAACTTCGGAAAATGCTCACACGAAGTCATGCGTTGGAAAACAAAAAAGATCTATCTTCCTGAGGGTGCGTTTCTTCCGTAAAATCTAAAACTATAATTTTTAGGTACTTCGCTGACAAAATTTCAATGCATATTTTTTTTTGGCCTTTTATACTAGAAAACAACTTATATGGACTCTAGCAGTGAAAAAAAAATTAAAAAATTGTTTACGTAAGGAGGACATTACCCTCTCTTCCGCCTTAAGATCATAGGTTTTGGGTATGTTACAAATAATATTTTTAAGCACTTTTTCAATTTTTAAGTAATTAAATGTTAGGATATAATTTCTAAATTCTAGATATGAGATTAAAAAAAATTCATACATTTCTTTAATCTCACATTATTCTCCCCCCCCCCTAATCTTAAGTTTTAAATATCTTAAAAATAACATTTTTACCATTTTTTTGTTATTTTTAAACAATTAAATCTTGGAATATAATTCATATGGGTCCCAGTAATGAAAAAAATAGTTCATATTCCCTGAGGATGACTTTAACCACCACCACCCACCCTAAAAAAAAATAAACTTTAGGTGCGTCCCAAAAATGTTCGAATTTAGTTTATATGTTTCTCAGTAGCAAAAAAAAAAAAAAAAAAAAAAAAAAAAAAAAAAAAAAAGTTAAACCCAGCCTGCAAATAGAATTTTCCTTCCCTAGAATCCAGATAAGCTATATTCTAACTTTAAATTCTGAAAAATTAAAATAAGAATATACATACAAATTTTATTTGGAAGAAACCTAAAATTATTAAAGAATCCTCGGAACTGGGAACTATTTTCTTCTTCTTTTTTTTACCGTTAGGATCCATATAAGTTAAAATTCCAAGATTTATTTCCTTAAAAATTGAAAAAGAATAAGGGTAAAAAAAATTTTTTTGGAAAATATTAAAATTTAAGGTTTTGAGAGGAAGGGAGATATTATTCTCAGGGAATGGTGACTATTTTTTTTTCATTTCTAAAGTATATTTAAATTGTAGTTAAACTATTAAATGCTTAAAATTTTGAATAAAAATCTGCATAAAAATTTTATGTGGAAACAGCATAGAATTTATAGTTTTAGGGGTTTTACTAAATTACATCTTTTAATTGCGTAAAAACTGCAAAATTAAATAAATAAATAAGCGTAAATTTTTATTTGGGCAGTACGAAATATTTATATTTTTCTTTAATATCATCATTAGATAGTATGAAATATTTTTTACTAATTACTAGGATACATATATTTTTTATTCGAACATTTAATTGCTCAAAAATATAAAAAAAATTTAGAAAATGCTAAAAATGGTTAGTTTAAAGGTATTTAAAACTTATGATTTAGTGTTGAGGGGTAATGTTATACTTAAAAAATATTAGATTTTTTTTCTCCATAGGATCTAGACAAGCTATATTCCTTTATTAATTACTTGAAAATACAAAAAGGAATGTTCGAAAAATTGCTCTTAGATGGTACCTAAAATTACGGTTTTAGGAATAGATAAGGGACAATGTCCTCCTTACAGAATATGAACAATTTTTCTTCAGTGCTAGGTTTTGTATGAGTCAGTTTACAGTGATTAAATGCTTGAAAGCAAAATAATAATATATATTAAAATTGTATTTATAAAGTACCAAGAAATTATAATTTATTTGTAGAAAGAGGGGTAAGCGCCCCATCAGGAGGTCGGAACTCTTTGTTTACCATTGTTAGACCCCACATATGTATTTTCCCAAAGTTTCAAAGCTTGATAATTTGTTTCCTAATTTGAGTGTATTATAAGATGTAGTGCGTGAAAATTTAATCCTTGGATCAAAAGTCCAAAGTTATTATTGTGCTCAATATTTTATTTTGCACTCTTGACAATAATGGTTTACTGACATCTTATATTACGTTTAATTTAATATGTTAAGCCTATAACAAAATTTAAACAAATATTTCTCGAATTAAACAAATATTGCCGTGCTATAACACTTTTTTTTTAATAACAGTTTCAGGGCTCAACAAAAATATGTGCAACTTTAAAAATTAGGGATGTTTATTCTTAATTCTTCAAATCAAGAATTAAAATTAATTTAACGAAAGAAGGAACAAATTGACATGTGCCGACGTGGTTTATAGAAAGCTCTCGGACCGTTCCTGTGTTTCTGACATGGATCCTGGTAAGATGCACTGTAAACAGATATGTCAACAGGACCTGCCAGAGATCCTGTATACAAACATGCCTCAGATACAGATATCCCAACATTAAGTACACGAGAATATTATTTAATTAAGTATAAAATATTCTGGTTTTGGAAAGGTTTTTTTATTCAACACCTTCTTGCTCAGTTGTCACAAAAAATTGTCGATAATATGAAAAACATCTATATGAAACAAGAGGTAATTCATATTTGTTTACACCGAGCAGATATTTATTTCTGCTATCAACTTTAAAAAAGTACTGTGTGTGTAAAAAACTTCATATTCAAATATAAATATTTACAATATTAATTGAAACAAGTACAAAGTTTCAATTAAAACAATCATAATATATTCCTTTCAATACTTGAGTTCTTTTGCAAATACATTTTAAGAAAAATCAACCTTTTATCAAACTGTGTGAGATTTCACTTCTTACAATTAAAAAACCTTCTTTTAAATTAAATAATTCTGTCTGTTTTTATTTTTCTTAGTCTTTGCGTTCGTAAACTTTGAACAGAATAAAAACTTAATGCATGACATGTATCCATTAGAAAAAAAAAAAATGCTAATAAAGAAGGAAAAAAATGTCAACGGCAACGGTTGGTATGTTAGCAACCTTCCATATCTACGAAAACTTCAAGCAATTTTTAGTTATTTTATCTGTGTCAAGTCAAAATATATTTTATTTCATCAATAAATTTTTCCAAGTCTCCTGAAATATGTTAAATTGAACATTTGTATAATAAGAATTCTGTAATAAAATAAATCAATAATTGTTCTTCGTACTTCTCTAACTGATAAGATAAAT